AAGAACCCGAATCCCTAAATCCCCTTGCTTTCTTAGTAGACAAATATTATCCCATGCTACTAAGTGGAATTTAGTCTTGTTTGCCTGCCTTGACCACAAGAAATTCCGCATAAGCTGTTCTATGCAGCTAGCCACCTGAGCAGGCATCTGGTAAAGGGACATGAGGTAAACCGAGGTATTTGCCAAGGTGGCTTTAATCAGGGTATCTCTCCCTACCATAGAGAGATATCTTCCTTTCCACCCCGCCAGACGTCTCTCTACCTTGTCTAAGACATGAGACCAATGTCTCTTTTTTGGTTTCCCCAACCCCAGAGGGAGACCAAGGTATGTTGTGGGAAGGTCCTCCACTTTGCACTCCCAATTTGGGATGATTGCTCTTACTTCTGCATTTGTCATAGCAACTCCCATCATTTTAGATTTCTCCATATTTACTTTAAACCATGTTGCTCTCTGAAAGCATTTAAGGAAGAACTTGAAAGTGTTGACTTCATTGCGTGAGGCATCAAGGAAAACCAGAGTGTCATCTGCATATTGCAGATGAGACACCGTTGGGCCCTGAGTACTACTTTTAAAGCAGAAAAGGAGGCCAATTTGGTAAAGGTGGGAAATCGATCGGCTGAAGACTTCTGCTGCGATAGCAAATAGGAAGGGGGATAGGGGATCCCCTTGTCGGAGTCCCCTTGAGGATGGGAAGAAGCCTTTCGAGGTTCCACTGATGAGGATAGAAAAATGGGGGTGAGAGTAACAGCCTCTCATCCACCTCCTCCATCGCTCCTTGAACCCCATTCTTACCATGGGCTCCTCCAGAATTGACCAGTCAACGTGGACAAAAGCTTTTTCCCAATCTATTTTGAAGATTAGGGCTGGTTTCTTGGCTAAGTGCCTCTAGTGGATACACTCATGAGCCACCAGAGCCCCATCTAGAATCTACCTCTCTTGGATGAAGGCAGTTTGAGATGAAGACATAACTGAGGGGAGGACTTGTTGAAACCTAGAGGCAAGGACGTTAGCCAGTATTTTATAAGCAGCATTCAAGAGGCTAATCAAGCAGAAGTCCTTGATTTCCTCTGCCCCTTCAACTTTGGGGACAAGGGCTAGGAAAGTGGCATTGATTGCTTTGTGGAGAGTTCCCCTGTGGAAGAACTCCTCAAAGAAACCGATAAAGTCAGGACAGAAGGTGTCCCAAAAAGTTTTGAAAGGTGTTATCGGAAAACCATCTAGTCCAGGGGCTTTGTCTTTGGCTAAGGCATCAACTACTTGTAAAATTTCTTCTTTTGTGAAGGGTTGCTCTAGCCAAACTGCCCGATCTACAGGGAGAACCAGGAAGTCAAGAGTTGACATTCTTGGTCTCGGGCCAGCAGCAGCAGAGCATAGAGTCTAAAAAACCTCTACAATAGCCTACTCGATTTCTTCAGGTTGGACCAAGTAACAGTTGTTGATTTTGAGCATCGAAATAGTATTGTCTCTTCTGTGACAATTAGCTATTCCATGGAAAAAAACTGTGTTTTGGTCACCCACTTTATCCATGATCTCTGGAACCAATAAATGTCTTCTTTTTTTAAAGTGGAAAGGTATTCCAATTTTGACTGTGTTCTGAGATTTAACTCTGTGGTGTCTAGAGACCTGGATTCTTCAAGACGGTCCAGTTCTTGGATGGTACTCAGGAGGGAGGATTTGATTAGGGAGTAGTTGCCTGGAATGGATCTACTCCAGGTTTTGAGAGAAGCTTTGAGAAGCTGGATTTTTGTCTGAAGTCTATAGCCTGCTCTACCCTTGACCTGGGATTGTAAGGAGTTCCACCAGGTTGGTATAACGGTAGTTAGGAACTCCTCTTGGAGCCATGCTAATTCAAACCTGAAAGGTTTTGGGCCTCTCCTTACTGCAATGGTATCCAGAAGAATGGGGCAACGGTCAGAAGTGGGTTTGGGCAAGGCCAAGGCAAAAGAGCCCGGGAACTGTTCCTCCCAGTTTGGGGATAAAAGAAAACGATCTAGTTTAGAGAGAGAAGATTCGGCAGCATGGTTGAACCACGTATAGTCACTTCCTTGAAGAGGAATATCAAGGAGTTCATTCCGACTAATGAAGTAAGAGAAGTCCCTCATGTCCCTAGAGATGGAGGTAGAGGAGTTCCTCTCATAGGACCATCTGGTAACATTGAAGTCTCCTCCCAAACACCAAATTAGTTGCGGCAGGGCGGCGATGTGGTCCAATCCAGACCAGAATCTAAATCTAAGAGAAGCAGAATTTGGGTTGTAAATGGTCGTGAATTTCCAGGGGATACCATCAAGGGATACTAGAGAGGAGAATGGTCACAGAAAACTCCCCTATGTGGGAGGAGTCGAGGGAATGGTCCGAAGGCTTCCAGATCACCAAGATGCCTCCTGAAGCCCCATTTGCTGGTAGTGAGACCCACTGACAAGGCCTTCTACCCCATATCTGGCGAATGAGCCACAGGGTGGGCTCAGGTTGTTTGGTTTCGATGACGGCAAGGACAACGGGAGGTGTTTAAGGGTTAAATCCTTGACAGCATTCCATTTGGACTATTGTCCTAGTCCCCTAACATTCCACGTAAAAACCTTCACGGGTTAGGGGAGGGAGAGGAGGAGGTGGCCATTCTGGGTGACCTCCTCGGACGGTTGGTGGGGGAAGCTGACGGGAGGCCTACTACAGTCTGTCCCTCAAAGGAGTTAGAGGAGAATAAGCTTAACAATTCTCTGTCCTTTGAACCTCACCATCATCCTCCTTTGCGCGTCTGCAGTGAGAAACTTGTGAGCCGGACCTTCGAGGCCGTCGTGATGGAACCCCATGATTTTCTACATCTCCTTCATTTTCTCATTGGACTGTTATCCCCATCCCCGTCGACCTCCCCTACGTTGTCAGCGGCCGAAGAGGGAGAGATGGGTTCCCTTTGCATTTCAGATGAATCTAAATCATGTTCAAGCAGAAGCACAGAAGGGTTGGTAGGATAAAGATCATAGGGTAAGGAGAGGAGGGGCTCAGAGTTTACAGGCCCTGGCAGAGGAAGAGGGGTAGGATTAGGGTAAACCGAAGAGGAAAGAGGGGGGAGAGGGGAGAGGGGACGAAACTGCAAGAGGCTGATCCAAAGAGAGGGTAGGCTCCTGGTTTGGGTTCGAGGGAGGAGGGGGCGAGACAATGGTTGGGGGGTCAACAGAAGGGGTGGAGGGAGGAAGGAGAGGAAGCAACTGGGATGGGGTTCCATGGGAGTAAGAGGGGAGGTAGGTGAGGAAATGGTGGGTCTAGACAGAGGAAAAACAGGAATACTGCAATGGGAAGAGGAGGGCCAAGCAAAGTGAAAAGTGCGTACCGGCTAATGTGGACCAGGTGCGGGGTATAAGGAAAGTGACGGGCTAGCAGAGAAGAGATAGTATCAGGGTCCGAGGGAGAAAGGTCCAAGGTATGAGCCGCCACAATTCCTTGGGGAAGGAGGTTACTGTCCATTATACGTTTAAAACAAAGGTCAGCTGACTCCTTGAACTTCTGAGAGGGTTCAGGGAAATCAATGAGGTTAAGAGGGAAGAAAGTAAGGGATAAAGGAGGAGGGATAGGTCTTGTATGGGGCAAGGATGGATGGTAAGGGAAGGGCAGGACTTACAGAGCCACTGGCGAGGAGAGGTCAAGGGAGGGGGGAGAGGAAGAGAGTTTAGAGGTCAGAAGGAGTGATTTTAGAGCAGAGTAAACCGAGGTGGGGTGGGGCTCAAGGAGAGAAACAAGGCAAGGGGAAATAAAGGAAGAAAACGCAGTGGGATTATCCAGGGGATAAGCCAAAGGGGAGAAAGTTGGAGAGCAAGGCGTTGATAGGGGGGGAGAGGATATAAGCCAGGTGTCCCCATCCTGAGAAGGGAGACCTAGGGATGCAAAGTTGTGACACGACTCGCCAGAGGGGTTAGGTGGGAAAGGCAGTGAGGGGGCAGAGGAAAATGGCGGGAAAAGGTAAGGGAGAGGGGAAGAACTAAGCGATGTAGCCACATCAGCTGGGGGGGATGGCGCAAGTGACAGAAGGACAGGGAGGAGCAACGCGGGTAATAGGTGGACAGAGGGGAGCGATGAGGGCGACAGGTGGGCAGGGAAGGTCGACGATGTGTACACGTCAGCTGAGGGGGGCGGCGCAGGCGATAGAAGGACAGGAGGGGGCGGCGCGGGTGGGCAGGGAGGGTCAACACCGACGACAAGTGGGCAGGGATGGTCAGCAGGGGTGGCAGGGCCTCTGACGTAGACGAGGGCAGGTGGCCTAGGAGAGGCACCGATTGCGGCAAGTGTTCAAAGGATGGTGGATGGGGACACGTGTAGGGCGGGGAAGAAAAAGGGTAGGGAGGAAGTAAAGGGTAGGGCTCAGGAACCGATGAGTGAAGGGGAGAGGAAAAAGGTGGGGGAGAAGGAATTTTGGAGAAAGACAGCTAGGGATCCTCACGAGGGCCCAAAGAGAGTGAGAAGGTAGATGGGTCAACCCAGGTTTCCTTTCCCGGTAGACGAGAGAAAGGAGGGGAATCAACAGGAGAAGGGCAGAGGGAAGCGGGCTCATACCGGTCCTACAGTTCCAGCCAAAATACATCACGAAGCCTAGAAACAGGAAGGGCTCTAACAAACATAGACACCACGGCACTCATGAAAAACAATGGTAAATCCATCAAATCTTCAATGGACAATTATTATTCCCCAAGAAACATTATCTAGAGTTTAAAATTAAACCTAATAACCTTTGCTAAAATATAGGAACAATATAAATACGTCAAATTGTTTTCGAGTAGGGTACTCACTTAACTACCACAATGGTTTCCCACATGAGTGCACACACTCAAACTAAAAAAATGCAAAAGCAAAAGAATTTTTTTTTTTTTTACCTTAACTATATGCAAAAGGAATTTTTCTGAGAGGCATTACCACATACTTAAGCACAGGAGCTTGAAAGCTCTTTATATATCTGGAGTGATATGTAGCCCCAAGAAAATAAGGAAAACAACGATAAAAAGAGTTGATGATACCTCATAAGCACAAGCTGGGCCAAGGTTGTCTAGGCAATGCATAATTTTGTCATGGCATTTCCATGTCTTCTTTTTCAAATTCCCGTAGATTTCTTCAGTGTCCTTGTAATTTATCTGCTCTGACTGCTTCAAGCTAAGCAGTGCATTAAACTGTTCACCATGAACAAATTATGTGAAAGGTCATTTGTCAAAATCCTATCAATATTTCACAACAAATTTCTCAGAAATGATCAGTCAACCTTTTGCCATAAAGTATCCAACTTAATTTTTAGATCTTCATAAGGACAAACAAAAGGGTCATAATAGACATTAGATTCTTTGGGCAGTGGAACAAATACTTCAACCACATCTCTGTCCTCCACTGTGTAGACCTGAACAACACATTACAGGCCTATTTAGAATAAAGAGTCTTTAGGCTTTCAGAACACACACAACAAAGGTTAGTCTTCCAGAAAATAGACGTAAATGTAGAAAATCCCAAAAAACCTGGGAATACAAAATCCTTTCAAGCTCGGATATTTGTTCCTCGCAGTCATCAATTGATGTCACCCCTGAAACCAGTGAAATGCAAATTATTCAGAAATATGTTCTGTGAACAGGGGAAAAAAGAAATTCTAATGGAAAAGTCAAATAATCAAGAAAAGGAAAAGTAAAGCATCATTAAAGCACAACACCAAACCACAATGCACTAAAAGCCATATCATATGATGATCACAAAAATGAAGTAGAAGACTCAAAAGTAAAGAGTAAAAATATGTATCCTGTGTAAGCACATACAAAAGAAGAAAATGAAATGACAATCAGGTTAAAATAAGAGCTTCTAATGGGCCGTAACTCAGTTTTAAATAATTGAGTTTCTACTAATATTTTCTCAGGGTTTGCTCAGAAATCCATAAAGAGTGAAGAAACAAGTTGAGAATATTAATTAAGCTAATTGAGTCCACAATCAATCTTGGAATGTCTCTAACAATAAAAACATAATCTTGAAAACAATTTTTCTTATGATCACCACCATCTGTAAGAGAAAGCCTTTGCTTCAGCAACAAAATGTGAACATCATGAAAAGCGTGAAACGACTCAAACCTTGAAAAAAAAAAATGTCCCGATTCCAACAATAAAATTCAAGGAAGCAATCATGTGGCTGCTTCTACAATGAAAGCACACTCAAACAAGGAAAATGGCGTTCACAACAAACTCCATCCATACCAGATGAAAGCACCCCACTAAAACTTTTCTTCTTTCAAACCCCAAGAGATTGCTTGAGAATTTGCATATCGTAGGATAGACAAGCCAAAAGTCACAAGTTCAACTTCCTACAGAGGGAACAGCTTGTCCAACATAAAGCAGCAAGAGATCCTGAAGCCCCATCCTGTAAACTATTTTTTGACCCAAGGAGTTGCAAGCAGGTTTCGTCATCCTCTCTCCACATGAAGCTCATGTACCGAAGTCTCAAATTTGACTCATGACCTGGCTAGGCGACCCTTGACCTGCATATAACTCATGCAACTAAAAACTAAAAGGAATCTTAACCAAAGGGATAAGGATATAGACTAAAGAGAATCACCGGGCCAGAAGAATTATGGTCTCTCCATTTCAGAAGCACATCAAGCAAACGATCCACAATGTTTCTCACACTATATTTTCAAGAGATTACGATCATAAATTCCACCAAAGTAGCCCAAGAAAAGTAGCACCATCCATTCCATACACCATTTCCATATGCAACATAAACATGAAAAGTTAACATGTCTAAACTCTCAATCACACAACAGTCATATTCACATACATCTATATTACTAAGGGAAAACAAATTATAGAAGTCGTGATTTTTGAAGTCTTCTTCATGGGTCCTTTTTCCCTCCAACTTTCCTAAAATCATTCTCTAAAAGAATGAGTAAGTCTAGCATTCCAAGAACATTTCTCTCCTCGCATCATTCTCAATCTTCTTGTCCAAGCACATCCAATAAATATAGCTCTAACTCCAACTGATTAATAGATTCTCTCCCTAAAAAGTGTAGAGAGAGTAGGACTCCCATCTCATGCCTGTACTAAAATTTGAAATCTCTTATTTCTGGCGCTAACAATTTTCAAAACAAAGAATTCTCATAACTTCAAATCTTAAACATTTGTAGGAAAATAGATGTTCTAAACAGACAAACGATGATATAGCAGAACTCCTTTCCTAAAATCTCAGATTTCTTATTTTACATCAGCACTAATTATTTTTAAAACCAAGCATATTCATCATTCAAAATTTAAAATTTTTATCATGTATTAGATGGGTTAGGTAGGTGGAATTTTAAAATCCAATTGTCTTATCATGGCATAAATTGGTTAAAAGTAGGACTTGTGGAAGGGTGAAAATCTGACACCCCTTTCTTAACATTTATCTTTCACTCATGCCACCAGTTGAGCACAAATTTCAGGTTTATGCTTGTTTTTGCATGCTCCATCAATTGAATATATCAGATTTGAGAGATCATAAATGTCAAACTAGATTTTGGTTGTACTCAAAATTTGTGGTTTCCTCAACACCATTGGTCAATCTCACATGAAAATGGTTTCCCAAGCCTATCTTTAGATTCTTCACCTAATCATAGGCTTGTTTTACATAAAAACGAATTTCCAATATTTGGGATTCACTATTCACACAAAATATTTTAAGAGCTTAATTAACTTACTCAAATCCAAATGTGGTTTGGAGGTTGTAATTTGGGGTATTTCAAGATGCTTTATAGTAAGGATGAAGGCAACAATTCACATTAAGCACAAAAGTTGAGGATTGGCCACGAAATTTTGGGTAATTTTTTTTTTTTTTTTTCAATTTGAATCCATATAATTGATGTTTCTCAATTTAAATTCATTTCAATCTAATTTTCCACAATGTATATCTTTTATTTAGTTTTATTCACTTATCTTTCTGATTTTTCTAATTTTCTACAATTTTCCAAAATTTTTCAGGATATATTTCAGCCAACTTAGAGCTAACTCGGGGAGTCAGCTTGGAACTCACAGAGACGACTCGCCCATGCCATGCCCCGAGTTCTTCCCTAGAGCGGATTTTGGTAACACTTACTAATGTGATAAATCCTGATGAATTGAGACAAAAAAAACCAATTGAAACAATACATACCTGAAATTCTAAAAATTCATTTATCAAGCAACAAAATGTCAAACTAATAAAAAATGACCTAACTATAAAAACTACAGAAAAACTAGTCTAACTATTATCTAACACACCAGCTTTGTCTTCCCCCAAACAAACCCCCAAATATATATATATATATATTTATATAAAGACCACTCAAGATTCATGGGCCAAAAAGACGACAGTATGTCTTACACAGTAAGTGTGTGTTGTGAAGGACAAAATGGAAGTATCAGGAAACCTAATCTGCCATTAACAAACCCCCACCTTTTCTGATAACAGGTGATGCAGTCATGCCAAACACTTTTGGTTTGTTCGCTGGTTTGTGGTAAAATTCCTGCACAAAAGGAGACAACTATAATCTTTCTTAAAATCAAGGGCCCCTAACCATGCAACGTATCCATCAACCATGCTAATAGTTTAAGAAAGAAAAAATAATGTAAAACAGCTAATGATCGAACAGAACATGTACTCACCGTCATTATTTTTGTATATGGATGGTTCCCTTTTGCATGATGGCACTCGTCAAATATGATTAACTTTACAATATCCAGTGTCACGAAAGCATTCCTCAATGCATCCAACAAAATTTGTGGTGTCATAACCATTACCTAGAATTTGCCAAAAGATCGTGTGTTATGTATAAAGCAACTACTCTTTTCTTAATTTCCAAGCAATCACAAGATAATATACATCATTGATAAAATCATCTTAATGATTGATTGACTAGATTTGAAAATATCTTCAAATTGTTTGAAGTGTCATAAAAGCAATGACCCTAAACTATTTTTAGTTTGGTAGCTACACAAGTCTTAGATAAAAGAAGTAATATCACATCCAATTCTACATAAAATAGTAGATTTATAATTGAACATATCAACGAACATCCAATACCATCAATCCTTCCCAATATCCTGTCTAATAGAATGCGCATGTACCTCAACTTCATCACAAACCCTCCCCCCACACAGAATGTTTTGTCACCTAAGCTGAGACGGCAGTGAGTTTGCTAAGCAGATTTAGGCAGCCAAAGAGTAAGAATAGCAACTTCAGGTGAGGTAGATAAGAGATGTGCCCTTGAGGTGAAGGGGATTATAGGAGCTTCTTCATCCTGGAGAGCAGAATGGAGCAGCTAGTCAGTGTTGGGTCCACTAGCTCATAGACAAGAGGTAAGAAATTAATCCTCCAGCTATTCAGCAGGCTCAACCCTCAAACGATTGCAGGCCCTAATGGACCTGATCCTATATGTCCTCTAGTGACTTGAAAATGTTAATTTTCACATGAAGAGCAAAATACTTAAAAGGAGCGGTAGCGTAAGATGATCAATGAAATGCATTTATGAAGTCTGCATCACTTTCTACTCCATGCATAGAGAATTAGATACTATTAAGAGACCATGAAGACAACCAAAATACAAGGAAACGCCTAGTGTCGTAATATTGGATGGGGGGAAACATATCTCTAAAAGAACGTAGGTTTACACCTTTATTTCTTATTTGCATGGAAATGTATTCCACAACAGTGTCGATCAACCAAATTGTGTAAAGATCTAAAATAATTATTTTTTGCACAGCAATATGTAGGCCTCGTAAGACTGCTGAGATAACAGAGACTATTAGCGATGCAAGGAGAACAGGAAAATTATGAGAGAGAGAGAGAGAGAGTTCACCAAATAAGGTCGACAACAGCAAAGCCATGGGAACCAACGGAAAGAATAGGACTCGGAACATGGAACTTCTGAGCCTAAATGTTTTTTCTACTCTTACCAAAGGTAATAACACCTAGTATATATAGAGAACAAACATTTGAGCAAACCTTCATGACCTATTCATCCTTATCCCAACACAAACAAGATATAAATTTCAAAAAATAAAAATTCGAAAAATAGGAGTATCCTATTCCAGCTTACAAGAAACAATTTCCTTGAGCCCAAGCCCCCACCCCAAACCCCCCTCCCAAAAAAAAAAAAGCAAAACAATATTGGTTATCTCTAGGTGCGTAGCATACGTAGATAATCTAGAAACAATGAAATTAAGATCGACCAAACGCGCTAGTTGAACAGGGAACTAGGGTATCCAACTTGTCAAACCGAAACCGGTCGAACCATTGAACTGACACTAAAACAGAGAATATCCAATTCAATACCTGGAACGGCCAGTTTGTTCAATAAAAACAAAATAAACCTTCTAAATATATCAAACATTTTTTTTTTATTTTAGTCGAGATTTTGTCTTTTTAACATTCTTAAGGATGCTTGGCCCAAAACAAAGTTTAGGTGGGTTTTGGGGTTAAAAAGTATAACTTTTATATATAGAGAGAGAGAGAGCAAAATTGGAATTTTTGCTTGCTCCTCTCTCTCCACAAAAGCCCTAAATTCTAAGGGCATTTTCTAGCAACGTTTGTGAACACTTGTTCGGGTGAGTATCAGCCTCTGAAATGTATTGTATTTATTTTCTAATCTGTTTGCTTTAGATTTTAGAAAATTTAATAAATAAGTAAGGTTTCTTAAGAATTTGGTTTTAGGAAAATTAAAGTTTTTTAAATCACTGTATTGGATTATTCTTAGGTTTGTGTCGTGGGTTCAAACACTATATTGGTTTTGGGTTTGAATATTGTAGATTCAAGATCAATTTTATGTATCTTTTTTATAATGATAATTGGCTATTTCGGTCTTTTGTGTTTGTTCAGTTTTTTTGTTATTAAAAACTATGGGGAACTATGCAAAATGTTGAAATATGGAAATTTGTTCCCTAATTGCTGTTTTTAATTTGATATGAATAAATGAATTTTTCTTTTTTGGCATGTTAATGGGCAGCGTAGATAGGAAAAAATCAGTGATGTCATGTTGTGGGTCCATCATCTTGACCACGCAAGCCTCAAGCCCAATCATGAATAATCGATTTTTTTCTCAATAACCCAAATGAACCTTAGAAATTATTAAATTATGGAAATTGTTCCATAATTAGGGTTTTGTGCATTTTTGGTTTTGATATGGATAATCACTAACTTTTCATTCATTCTTGTTATCTTTAGTTTATTCAAGGATCTATAGAACAATCAATGTTTCAATTAAATATTTGATGTTTTAGGTGCAAGATCGGCACCCTAAAATCAGAGATCCGAGACCATTGCGCAACAATAGCTCGATGATTGCAGTAGTCGATTGATCAGTGAGGAAACTACCTCAACCACTATCTAGGAAGGAAAGGAACTAATGAACCATTAGCCCTATATATCAGCAGTACACCTCGTACTGGTAGAGGCCTTCTAACTCACAAATTGGGCAAATCTCCCTCTCTCTCTCTCC